TAAATCTTTTACAGTATTTAGGTATCAGTTTTTTTGGACTGCGGACTGTGCATACTAGGCAAACACTCTACTACTAAGCTATATCCTCAGTTCTTTTCCAATTTTTAAGGCAGGTCTTGCTTATTTACTCAGGTTGGCACTGAACCTGTGGTCTTCCTGCTTCAACCTCAGGAGGAGCTATGTTTACAGGCATGCACCACCATGTCTGGCCTTCAGGTATCTTAAAATCATGATAAAAATTAGCTTTGGGGGTCAGTCAATGCGATTCTTCACAGTAAGCCATTTGCGGGCTTATCTAAGCAGATATCCAGTAACCTGCAGTGGATTATTACTGTTTTCATTTGACCAATGCTCATGGTCATGTCTGGTTACACTACAAGGACACTAGCAAACAAAAGGAATAGTATTCTTCACTGTATAGAAGGACTTGGAAAACCATGGCCTATAGACTTCCATTTGTTTCTGTAAGTCAAGTCTACCCATATCCACTCATTTCTGTATTGTCTCACTGGTTCTGAATTACAGTGGGAAAGTTAAGTGGTTGCAAAGGAGACTGTATTGACTACAAAGCTGTATCTGGCTCTTTACAGAAAAATTTTGCCAACTGCTGCTATGAGACAATGCTAGCAACCTCTAAAGAGACACCTTCTTATTAAATCTTATCTTCAGAAAAAGAATATCACTAATAATTATGATCATAAAAACTAGATACGTAACTAGTACTATGCATTTTATAACGTGCCTTTTAAAACTTTTAAAAAAATTTTATTAGTACATATTTGCAGTACATAATGACTGCACTCATCAGGGGGAGTGGGTGCATCTACACATCTGAATTTTTTACCCGTCCCCTTCCCTCCATCTCTTGGTCTCCTTCCCATTTGGGAAAGAGCTATCTCCCTGTTCCTTATTACTGTTTGTTTTTGAGACAAGAGTCTCACGACATGATTATAGGCTACCCTCAAACTCACTGTGTAGCTAAGCTGGCCGCAAACTCAAGACTCTCCTTTGTGCCTTAACCTCCTGAGAGTAGAGGTTAGAGATGTGTGGCATCATGTCTGGCTACATATTTTATATCTACGATCCTTGTAACAATTCTGAGAGTTGCTGTTATTTTACAAATGAGAAAACTGAGACTGCCTAGGTGGTAGTTTGCATTTAAACCCATGCTTTTTGTTGGTATCTAAGAACCTTTCTTCTACTTACACATTCTTTTCCCCTGGCTAACATTCTTTTCTGGTAAGAAATGTTGTAAGACTGACTAACCAAAGGAAAATTTTAGAGGACACCGTTTAGGGAGCTAAAGGCAGAAATACTCCAAAATCTCTCCAGTGACTAGACTCAATGAAAACACTTTGCACTATAAACTAGACTGAAGTATGTCCAGCCTCAATTCATAAGTATATTTCTTTTCCTAGATTTTTTTTTTGAGGCAGGGTCTCGCTATACAGTTTAAGCTAGTCTTAAGCTCACTTTGTAGCCTAGGTTCGTCTTGAACTCACAGTGATCCTCCTGCCTCAGCCTCCTGAGTGCTGGGATTACAGGTGTGCACCACCATGTCTGGCTCTTTTCATATATATATATATATAAAGTGCTCACAACATAGATTACTAGGGATATACAAATTAATGCTACAGTGCCATACCATTTCACAATTCATTAAAATGGCTAAAATAAAAGACAATGACTAACAAGTGTTGAGGACATTAGACTTTTTATATCTCTCACCCCCCACCCTTGGTCTCTGTTTCTGTCTTCATCTCTGTCTGTCTGTCTCATGCTAGGGACTGAAATCAGGGCCTCATACAAGCTAAATATGTGCTCTACCACTGATCTATGACCAGAGCCGAGTGTGAAAAACTGGAACCCTCCCAGGTTGCTGGTGGAAGTATAAAATGGTGTGACCACTTTGGAAAGCAGAATGGCAAGTCCTTAAAATGTGAGCACAGTTACTATACGACCTAGAAATTCCACTCAAAAAAAAAGGGATGGGCTCTTATTATATTGCCCAGGCTGGCCCAAAATTCCTGAGCTCAAGTGATGATTTTTCTGCCTCAGCCTCTTGAATACTGACTCTACCAGGTGCCATGTAATTCTACTTTTGGGTGTACACACTTAAGACTGTTGAAGACATATTAGCCATAAATAAACCTATAGCTTAACATTATAAATGTACTAAATGCCACCAAGTTGCGTACATACTAAATATGACTTTAAAGTGAATAATTTTATTTTGGGGATTTTATTTTATAATCTATTGTACATCTATTGTACACTTAACTGATTATGCCATACATTTCTTGGAAAAAAAATGGAAAAATTTATATGCTAATATTCATATTATTCACAACAGCCCAAAGTGGAAACAACCCAAATTTCTAATCATAGATAAACAAAATATGCTGTACTCACAAAATGGAATATTATTTGGTAGTAAAAGGAATAAAATATTGATATATACTACAACATTATAAACTCTAAACATTATGGTAAATGGAAGAAGCCCTGCACAGATCACGTTATATGACTGCATGTATATGAAATGTCCTGAGAAGTCAAATGTACAGACATAGAAAGTAGAGTGAAGGATGACTCAGAAGGAGCATAAGGTTTATTTTTTAGGTTGAGGAAATCTACTGATTGTAGTGAATGTGGCACAACTATGAATATACTAAAAATCACTGACATGTACACCTGAAACTGGTGAGCTTTATGTGTATGTTATATAACATTACACCACAACAAAGCTCTTACAAACAAAAAAAGCTTAAAAAGGTTCCACAGCCAGCCAAATATCCAGAATTATACACTCCTAACCTTCTCACATGTTTAGGTCACTAATGAATGTATGCCTTTTTTTCTATGAATACAGAAAAGTCAAGGGAAGCTATGTGTAGTGGTGCATGTGTGTAACCTAAGTACCCTGGGAGCTGAGGCAGGAGGATTGCAAATTTGAGCCCAGATTGAGCAATTTAGTGACTTGGTGAGACCCTGCCTCAAACAAAACAAAAGAAAAAAACTGAACAAAACTAAACAAAAAAACGGCTGGGGATGTATCTCAGTAAGAAGGCATTGGGTTCAATCCCCAGTATGAGAAAAAAAAAACAAGGGAAATTTAAAATGAGAAAGAAATATAAACTGGACTGCATGTTACTGCTGATTATATGTTTTAAGTGGAATTAATTATAATCATAAAGTTTATCTTTGAACTGTGAAAAATTTTTTTGTGGTGCTGGAGATTGAACTCAGAGCCTCACACATGCTAGGGCAAGTGCTGTATAACTAAGCTACATTCCTCGGCCCTTTGTCTTTACTTTTCATGACCCTTAGTTGATGAGGACTAAGAATTCCAGGAGTTTGGGAGAAGCTAATGGTTATCAGAGAGAACCCTGAATTTATGGGACCCTGTAAACTCTATCCCTCGAAAGCCATAGTCTAAGTTTTCATTCGTCCTCTGCAGTCGTATCATCGTTGTATGAAGGAGTATTTACGGGCCTAATCACACACAGAGCTAGTCTTTCTCAGGCAACCATACTGTCTGCATCAACATAAGATAAAATTGTGCTAAGGACAGGGATATATGATTTAAATGTAGGTCTTTACGTTTTGGATAAAGTCATGCTTGGTCAAATGAAGCTTCATGTTATTTCTCTGTTAATGTGATGCTTATTTTATGTTGCACAAAGGCAGGCATCAACTTCATCTTTGCATCTGATCCTAGGCAGATGGGGATGCTAAAAGATTAATACTTAAGCTAGTTTTCCATCCATCTGAACGATAATAATCTTAGAATTTATGGAAGTAGTAGACATTTTTCAGTCCACTTAAAACTCTGCCTTTTAGTTTAGTTCCACTGCTCTCACTGAGTAAGGTCAGATTGTGGGGTCATGTTTCGTACAGTGATTTGTTGGACAAGACAATTCTGGTTCAACTAAAGAACCTGTCACTGTGGGTGTCACTTCTGTTCATCAAACACATCAGCTTTTCTGGCTGTGTGCTTATGTACTAGGAAGAATTTCCTAGGCTCCTGGAGTTGCCCTTAATGTCCTCTTTCTCTCTGAACACAACTGTTTTATCTTTACAACCTCTCTTGGGGGAAGTCTGACCCAGAGAACTGCTTAAGATACCTGTATTTCTCACCTCAGAAGTAGGGGAAGAACTCTGAAGGGACTATAAGGTGCAATAACAGCAGACTGTGGGCTAGAAAAATCAGCACAGTAAGTTTCCTTCTCTGCTTTTATGTGTTAACTAAAAACTGTTACCTGAAGTATTATTTCCTTGAGATTAGGGATTGCATCTTTTTAACGTTTCTATCCCGACTACCTAGTACAGTGCTCCAGGAGGTACCGAATAAATGAATGAATGCATACATGCACAAGCAAACTGATTATATGCCTCCCTCTGGGTACACCAGCCCAATTTTTTCAATGGCTCAGAGGAAAACTGGAATTGTAATTTGAGAGACATTGGGAAGTAGTTCTAAGGAAAATTAGCACTCATTCCAGGTAAATGGTTTAAAAAACATAGCAACAGGAACATTAAGATCTTTACTAAAACAATCATAAGAACACTGAAACACTACCTACTCTCACGGATTGCTGTGTTTTAGACACTGAAAACATGCAGCTAACGGTGACGATATGATTGTTCTCAGGAGACGGCAGGGTACATACACAGCATGCACATGTTTGTGTACATGTTCCTCACTTAACTGATTAGGCACACACATCTCCTGGAAAACCTAGCAATCCACTAAATTGGGAAATGGCCAGTGCAGATGTCACTACTATTTAACCTCTCTGTAAGACAGGGACAGTTCTCTTTTTAAAGGCTAAGAGAGAAACAGGCTGGATACTTTAGGAGGTGGACTAACTTTGTAGCAAATTAATTTCAGCAAGCAGTGCCTGCACTGAAATAACAGTAGTTTCATTTCACACACATAGTGATAAGGAAATTTGCTAGAGATGAAAAGCAAAAAGGCTCCTCGTTTCTTTAATTACCTTAAAGATGTGTGCTTTGAGGATATGATGTCCCAGTTCAATAGTCTGCTGCCGGTTTAGTTTTCCCTCTTGGCGGGAAAACCAGAAGGCAAGTAATGTGTGACCACTCCTGCAAAGAAAAACAGACTCATTTTAGAGTTGTAACATCTCAGTTCTGCTCTGAGTGAGGAGCTGTTCAGGCCTGGCAACACCTCCGACAAAACTCATCTGACTGATTTCTTGGGGAAGGGTACTTGCCGCTGGGCAGATAATGAGTACTGTCCTAGCTTTTAACAGTCCTTTGCCCAACCACATGTATGAATATTATAACCCATGAGTGAAGATCAGTTCTAGTTGGACTACAACTATACCACACAAAGGTCACATTAAAAGATTTTCACTTTTATTTTCTGTCTGTCAGCAGCTCACTTTTTTCTCCCATTCCTCTAGCAACTCTTACTTTGCCAATGCTTAAATGTTAGCGTTTCCCAGGATTTTTATGTTAGTATTTCCTATTACACCCTGTTTGAATTAGCTCATTCATCTTCAGAGCCTGTATCACCATCTATATAATCTATATTTTTTGTCTTTGTAGACCTCTCTTCTCAGTCTTTTTTTCGGGGGGGGGGGCCACCGTCTTTTTGAGACAGGGTCTCACCATGCAGTTCAGGCTGGTCTTGAACTCACTTTGTAGCCCAGGCTGGCCTCAGACTTGCAATGATGCTCCTGCCTCAGCCTCCTGAGTGCTAGGATTACAGGTGTGCGCCACCATGCCTGGCTCTCTCTTCTCAGCCTTAGACAAGTATTTGTATCTAAATGTTTACTAGATTTCTTTTTGTGATTTCTCCACAGCACTTATACTCAATAGGTCTTAACTGAATTAGCAACCACTTGCCCAAATCAAGTCTTCCCTGGTCAGTTCTACCAAGCCTCTACCCTTTTCTGGAGTAGAGTGCGGCGCTGTCTTTTTGGTGCCACCGGGGTAGATCATATATACCTCTAGTGTAGTATTTACCCCACCTCACAAGCTCTTTCCCCCACTAAGCTGTTTCTGATGGCTTCCAGTCCCCCATATCTCCTTGCCAATAGATTTCCTATCTGTTCATGAAAGAAAAACCTCCTTTTTCTGCATCTGGATATTGTTTTATCTGCCTATGATAACCCAGAACTGCCTCTTCCCTCTTTTAAATCATGTGGGCAGCTGGGCTGAGGACAAAGGCAAAAGGATGGCTAGGCTAAAAGAACTGCAGAATTACAGAGCCTAAGTCCTGACTAGAGCACCCAAACTGTTTAATACATTTGATCTGGAATTCTGTGTGTGTGTGTGTGTGTGTGTGTGTGTGTGTGTGTGTGTGTGTGTTTTGGAACTAGGGACTGAACCCAGCGTTTTCACACTGAGCCACTGAGCTACATGCCCAGTCCTTTTTTATTTATTTTTTATTTTGAAACAGCATCTCACTAAGCCACTAAATTAACCATCCACACTGAGCTTGAATTTGCAGTTTTCCTACCTTAGCCTCCCAGAGTGCTGGGATTATAGGCATACACCATGCCCTACTTAATGATAATACATTTTTAAGCATGAATGAGCACATATATGTTTGTAGAGGTATGTGGGATGTGTGTACATACAGAGTGTATATATTCTTATTTCAGTTTATGAAAGAAATCTCGATATTCTCTGTAATGCCCAACAGTCTTTTGCATATAAAAATGCTCACTAAAATTTTCTAGAAGAAAATATTGGGCATTAAAGAAAGGACAACTATCCCCTCTGGGATATATCTTCTTGCTGCACTTGCTGTAATCTTTAGGTCCTTTGGACACTTAGAACTGTATGGCCCAGTAGGTCAGTGTCAGCAGACATCTTTATAACACATACTAACTCTTCTACTCCTTTCACGTGGAGTGCCATAGAAAAGGGAAATGAAACCATTATACTGGTTTCAGGGCTAATGAACTAATCAAACAAAAGTACTAAGTGAATTTCTGCTCATGATATTTCCCTGAAAGGAGGCCCAAATATCTAATGGAGAATTTTCTTTTGTATTGAGAATTGGTTCTGTAGTCAAGTTTAATTTGAAAATCTTACACTGAAGTTTGAAAAACAAACAGTATTCCATTCATTCATTCATTCATTCATTCATTTTAGTTTTAGGGAGGGTGTTGCAGAATAGGTAGGACAACTCCTCTCTTACACAGAAATCATCTTGAAGAGACTTAGGAAGATTTAAAGAAATTTTTTTTTGGTACCGGGAATCAAACTCATGACCACGCGTGTGCCAGGCAGGCACTGCGCCACTGAGCTACAGCCCCGGCCAGAGATTTAGTAAGATTTAAAAAGGAAATCCTCACCTTTGGCTTCAGTTTTTAAAAATTATACTGCATACCAGGTCAATGTAAAACAAAAACAAATAGACAAGTGAGTATTTAATTGGATAGGATTAACCACAGTGAAAAGGGAGCTATGTGAGTACAAGAACATGCAAACAAGTTGCAGCTTACATGGAGCCATCACTACGGTCTGAAGGCTGAACCCAGGGTTGTTTTGCACTCACAAAATTTGCCTGCCACTGACTTTTATTTATCCCATGAAAGCTCAGTTTAGTTGGTGGACTGTTTTAATAGAGCCTAGAGAAGTTAGACGATAATGAAAAACATTTATAAAGTGTCCTGTTTTCAAGGTCTCAAAATTCTATCCAGTTATTAACAGTAAAATTATTGTAGGCTTCCTGGTATAAGAATTATTACTTTAAATGACTCATCCATGGTTGTACAATAATGACTAGAGCTCCTGAATATAAGCCTCTAATCTACTACCTATGCTTTAGACCATGAATCAGAATCTACGCCTATTAGGATTACGGTAAGAAACTTATGCTTGACAAGGAAATGAATGTTCAGTTGGGCAAAAAATTGACTATGCCCTAATGTTTACCATAACTGAAGAATCCTGCTAAGATGTTTGCATTTCGCTATTATGCGCCGCATTTGGCTAGAAAGGACAGGGCTTGCTTTTGCTGTTGATCAGGCACTGAGGAGAAACAGCAAGCAATACAGGTCAAGGGTAAAATGAGAATCACAATTATGGTTCATTTCTTAAGAAACAGAAGCATACTATATTATTAATAAAAGAATGGTTCTTATTAGTTAACTGGGTTCAAAGCTGGCTTAGAACACAAAGGGTAGCAGCAATTCACCTTATATGCTGGCTTTTCCATTTGTACCTTTCCTGGTAAAATATGGTACCACTAATTAAGGTATAGCCTGAATGTGTTACACTACACTTTTGTATATTTGTTTCTATTTCTCTTATCATTTGCTCACTTCTGAATCTTACTACTTTTTGACTGTCAGCCTGACCATTCTCTAAGATTACTGGTAGCCTCTTAATTCAGACTAAAATAGATTTCTCTTAGTCTTTGATCTTGTTCTCTTATTTTCTCCCTTGAATATTAATCCCTATTATTTATGGCCTCCCTTCTTTTTTCTCCTTCCTTCCTTTCCCTACCCTTTTTAAAGTTTTTTATTTTTATTTATTTATTTTTGAGACAGGGTCTTGCTATGCAGTCCAGGCTGGCCTTGAACTCACTATGTAGTCCAGGCTGGCCTCAAACTCAGAGTGATCCTCCTGCCTCTGCCTCCTAAGTGCTGCGATTACAGGCGTGCGCCACCAAGCCTGACTTCCCTACCTTTTTCTGTAAAGTGGTTTTCTCTTAGCCTTTGATCTTTTCTTTCCTATTATTTTCTCCCTTCAACATCAGGCCCTATTATTTACTGCTTTCTTTCTTCTCTTTTTTGGTCCCTCTTCCCCCTTCTCTTTTCTGTGGTATTAGGGATTGAGCGGAGGCAAGCTCTACTACTGAACTACATCCCTAATCATTTTCTAATTTTGGCCTTGAATTTACAGTCCTCCTGCCTCAGCTTCATGAGTAGCTGGACTGCAGGTATGTGCAGTGACGCCGGGCTCACTGCCCTTCTGTAGCTTTGAATCCTAGCTAGTAATAAATGTGTCTGTTGAAACCACTGTCCTGTAAGTCCTGTAACCATGGACAGACCAGATCTGTCTTACATCTCTATTCCCCGCAGTGCTGAACACAGAACCTTGAATATATTAATTCATGTTCACTAAATTCTAGCTAATATGTGTGCCTTTACCACTCCTGAGACATAGTAGGAAGAGTGAGAAAAAGACACTGTCCATGGATCTTTCAGAAGTTTTTCCAAATACTGTAAGTTGCAAACTTAAAATTAGTATGACTTACCATGTTCATTTACTAATTCATTATTAAAAATATTTATTGTGTGCCTACTGTGTGTCAGGTATGCCACTAATCACTAGGAAGACAAAGGTAAAGTAGAAAAGGTTCTTGTCCTCAGTGAACTCACTCGGGTTTAAAAGGGAAAGTGAACAGTTAATTAGTGTAGCGTGTATACGGGATACATGTCAGAAGGGAGGAAAAGGTTGCTATGCTTCAGATAGAAACCAGGAAGATCAGATAAGGTGACAAGGAGAAGTCTCTCTGAGAGCATTTACGCCGAGATCTGAAGGAGGACTGAGAGACAGTGCTAATGAGCCAGGGACAGTGCTTCCAGGTGGAGGGGCTGTGAAGTGCAAACTCCCCGAAGTGAGAGAGAGAAAGTTCTAGGAGCTGGCGGAAAATAATGAATAAGAAAGGAATGAAGGAGCTCAATTCAGAGAGGCAGGCAGAAACTTGCTCTATAAATACAGATCTTGAAGAATCTGGCTTTGATTTTAATCTGATCATTAAAAAGCCACTGAAGAATTTTCAGAAGTTACATGCTCAGAATTGTGCTTTTAAAAAGTCACTCTGACTGGTTTCGGACAATGGCTTAGAGGAGGGCAAAAGGCAAGATCAACCAAGAAGCTAAAGTAATGCATGTGAAAGCCCCTGGTGTGGTCAGCAGGGATGAAAATAAATGGATACTTACAAGTCAAATTTGAGTGGCAGAACCAACTAGATACACTGCAGGCTATAGTAAACAAGTGTCTCAGAGCGGTGGGTGTCCATGGTTAAGAGGACACAGCTGTCTGCACCTGAAAATCTCTAGAGATGGTTGAGAGAATCCTTTACTCACAAGAAAGAAAATGTGCTGTCAAGTCCCACT